ACACACACACACATATATATACATGTATACATATATATATGATGAACTGAGCCACAGGACGAGTGAGGGGTAAACTGAGGAGGCACAGGGAGACGTACAAAGATAGTTGACAGGACAAAGGGAGAGCAGAAATGGAAATAGCTTTATTAGGGGGGAGCTTCCGGGCAAAGGCCCATGGTGTAGCAAGTAGCCCAGGGGAGTCACGAGGTTGTCCGAGTTCTGGGATTTTTAGGAAAGCAGGGCAAGGGGGGTCGTGCTGCAGCAGCCAGGTTTATGGCCCAGGATATAGTTTATCAGCTCTGGCAGGTAGGGTGTCTGGTTATCAGGGAATCAGACATCCCTGGCACCATTTCTCAGTCTCCTCATTCCAGGGGGCAACTGCTGACCTTCTGGGACGTGCAGGGAAGCAGGCCCCCAGCATGCCTCAGCTTAGCCCAATCATATATATTCTGTAGATGATGGATAGATAGATAGATAGATAGATAGATAGATAGATAGAAAGATAGATAGAAAGATAGAATAGAACTGCCCCTGTGGGTTTCCCAGATGGTAACTCTTCACAGGAGTAGAAATCCAAGTCCTTCTCCAGCAGAGTGGCTGGTGGATTCCAACTGCAGACCTAGCAGTCTAGCACGTAACCACGTGCCACAAGGGCTCTTGTGCACGCATGCACCCCTAGATGCACTTTTTATTATGTATCCTAGACAAAAAGCAAACCCCTTGCCATCAAGTCTGTTCTGACTCCTGGTGACCCTACAGGACAGGGTAAAACCACCCCTAGGGTTTCCAACACGAACTCTTTACTGGGGAGGAAAGCCTCGTCTTCCTCCCGAGGAGCTGCTCATGGTTTCGAACTGCTAACTGTGCAGTTAGCAGCCCAGCATGTAACCCGTGTGCCACCAGGGCTCCCAAAATTCCACTATCCTTTCACTCCATTTCCCCACAAACTCTTGGAGGCCACTTTGCATGTACTATACATCTGGGCACACATGCACACACACAGCCACGTGTATGCACGTGTGTATACATGCAGGTAAGCGGTTTACATCGAAGACGATTCATATCACATCTGTTCTGACAGGCTTCCATCTCGGATCTACATAAGCTGAGCAGGTGCCACCTCTGTGCTGCATGTGCCCCCCTGCCTTTGCCTTCCAGAGCGCCAAGCCTGGTTTTCCTTAATCTCGCGTCCAGTCATTTTCCAGTTCCAGTTGCTGACCAGCTGGGGGGACCCCTACTACATCGGCCTGACCGGCCTGGAGCTGTATGACGAGCGGGGAGACAAGATTCCTCTGTCGGAAAACAGTATCCTTCCCGTGCCGGGCGGGGGCGGGCTGGAGAGGAGTCCCGGTTCCCCCCACCAGGGGCTGGCTCACAGGCAAGGGCAGAGCCCAGAGGCGTTCCAGCCCTGCACACCAAGACCCCAGTTATAGGACCACAGGACACCCCCACCACCACAAACACAGATTCCCTCCTGGCTGGGTGAGACACGCAGGCATAGCCACGTGTGGAGCTCTAAAGGCTGGTTCTGGACAAGCCCTGCTCCACTGTGTTCAGCTTACAGGCCAGACTGCATGACCCCCAAACCCTCTGTTCATGAGATGCTCACCCTTGAATCCTCAGTGAGTCTCTGCAGAGAGTTAAGAACAAGGTGGTTGGTCCAGAACCTTGTGAGGAATGGGCTGTGCTGGGCCCACAGTCCGGCTGGGCAGCAACACCCTGGCCCCTAGCAAGCAGGTCCTGCCAGTTGACCCTAGTCCTTCCCCAGCCCTGGGTTAACCCCAGACCCCTGAAACATACCACTGGTGCCAGGCGCTCTTCTGGGGCCTCACCCATGCCCCCCCCGTTTCTCTCCCAGCAGTATTGGGAGGGGGCTGCCTTTACCTGAGGCAGAGGCTGAGCTGTTGCCCCCAGACCCCCCCCAAGCCAGTGAGTGGTGGAGCTGGGAGGGCAGCTCCAGAGGCCAGGCTGGTGATCGCTAGCTGCTGCCCATGTGGCAAAGGCCAGACCTCACAGGCATTTGATGGGACGGTTCCTCGCCCAGCCCAGGGGGTAAAGGCCGGAGCCAGTCCAACCCAGACTCCCCTCTCCTCTCTCTGGGGTCCCAGTCAGATAATCAGCCCTTCCCACCGTCCTCCCCACTGGGAATAACAACGGTGAGGTTTCTGATCACCTCTCATCATTCCTTGGCTGTGTATGGCTAAGTGCCCACACATGGTGTCTCACATGACCTTGTGGCAGGCCTAGGGCAGGGAGGTTTGCACACCCATCTCACAGATGAGGAAATGTCACAGACCTCCCAGGAACTCCTGGTCTGAATGGCCGAGCCACAGGCAGGACCTGGTTCCCCAAGCCACCATTGCAGCACCTGTCAGCCCAGTAGCAGGTCAGGCCATGGCCAGGGACACATCTTGGGGTGGGGGTAGGAGGATCCTCACCTCCTCAGACAGGGTCCAGCCACTACCCTCTTCCCTTCTGAGAGGAGCCTCAGAGTTTGCCCCCTGCCCTCCAACATAGCGGCAGCGCCAGCCTCCCTACCTGTCCTTGAGGCTGGCTGCCGGCCCCACCCCCACTCACCCACCCTCCTCAGCCCCGCAGCTCTCCAGCCTCCCCAAGCACCCCGACCCCGGCAGCGGCTTGCCTGTTGAGGGCTGGGTGCCCACAGTGCCCCCCACAGTGCCTTCTGGTTATGACAGCTGACAGGCTCCCCAGACATCGCCGCCTTCCCAGACAGTGTGAACTCGCTGGAGGGCGTGTGCGGGGACGTCCGGACCCCGGATAAGCTCATCGACCAAGTGAACGACACCAGCGATGGCAGGCACATGTGGCTGGCGCCCATCCTGCCCGGCCTGGTGGGTGCCCTGGGGCAGCGGGACTCTAACTAGGTGGCTCCCTTCCTAGCCCAGTGACCCTCATATAAGCCCAAGTGCCTGGGAGCCTTTGCCACCATCTTCCTGGGGCCAGTGGGTCTTCCTCCTGCTCTGGGCTGACGATCATCGGGGCACCAAGAGGATGCAGGGACACGTGGGCATCAGGCTGGGAAGCCTAGTGTCGTGGGCCTGCACACCTGGGCACAAAGGTGCTGTGGGTGCCCCCTACCCATATCTTCTTCCCTTCCTCTCTCTGGTCCACCCACCCTCTTCCTCCCAGCCCAGCCTCCTCACAGTCACTGCACTACTTCCGAGTGTTCCTGGGCACTAGGCCCCCCCACAGCCCGCCTGCCCAGGACTGCCTGGTCCTGCTCCTTGATTTGCCCCGAGGCTACAGGATGTGCACAGGTGTGGGCCTCACCCGTCCTAGGCCTGGGCAGCTGCAGCTGGAGAGAAAGGGAGCAGATGGGGACAGGGAGGAAGGTTAGCTCAGGGGGGTTGAGTTCACTTCTTGCCTGAGTCAAGGCATGCAATGCGGTCCATAGCACCCCTAAGCTGACTGGAGTGCCCCCACTCATCACCCCATGGGAAGGTCCAGCACTGGCAGCCCATCGCTTCCCTACAGGCTATCCCTAAGTGCTTCTGCTGCTCTGGGGGTCACCTGCTCTGCCCCCATGCTAAGGTCAGCCCTTGGCCCCGGTCCCGCCTCCACCCAGGGGAGAAGGCAGGGTGGCCCTGCCCTCGGCCCCACAGCTGTGGCCCAGGGTGGCCCCTGGCCAGTCCAGCTGCTGCACCTTCGCTCAGCCTTTGCATGAAGGCCTCTGGGGTGGACGGGGCGGGCCCTTCAGGTCCAGTCCATGCTGGTGCCTGCATGAGCCCCCAGGGCCGAGTTTGAGGATGGCTGAGTTTGGACCTTTGTTGTTTCCCCAGCTCAGCCAGAAGGGGGACCTGTGTCTTGACGTGCTCAGCATCTTTGGGGGTCACTCCTAGGATGGGCACAGGCTGAGGCCCAGGACTAGCGCACAGTGAAGGCTGCAGCCTACTGAGAGGCTGCCCTTTTCTTCAGCCTTGCAGGGGCTACTCTGCCCGGGGTTTGTGAGGGGCTGCTGGGGGGCGGCTTCACTGGCTCAGGGCTGCAGCAGAAGGCTAGGGGGTGGGGATGGGGTGGGGTGAGTGCCACCTGAAATCACCAACAGGACCCTCAGAGCCTCGGGGCTTGGCTTTGAGTTGATGAGATCTAGGAAGAGGTCAGCTGGGGCCAAGGTGGGCTGACCAGCTCAGGGCCATGCCCTCAGATCCGACGGTGGCAGCTGCCCCTTCACTCCACACTGATTCCTAAGCCATTGGGGGCCTGACCTGAGGGAAAGGTGGACATGCTTTAAACGAGGCTGCGGACGGGCACAGCCTAGGTCAGGTGGTTTGTCCTAAAGGCAGCCACTTGTGACCACAGAAGGGCTTTGGGGAGAGGCCCAGGGCTGGTGGGTATGGGCAGCCTGCCTGGACACCCCCACCCCGCCCCCTGCCGGCAGCCTGGCCCAGCCCAGCGCCTGTTTCCAAACATGCCAGTTTTCATTAGTTGTTCTCCGACAGGTGAACCGGGTGTATGTCATCTTCGATCTGCCCACCACCGTGTCAATGATCAAACTGTGGAATTATGCAAAAACACCCCACCGCGGGGTGAAGGAGTTTGGCGTAAGTACTTATTAGCCGGGCTTTTCGAGATAATTATGCTCGTCGGTAATTAGACTGCCGGCAATTATCATTCGTCACAGTTTGATTTACTCCTCTCCGTTGTGACCTTCGACACACGCGTGCCGCATGCTCAGACTTGGGGACACTTGCCAGCCGCTGTGCAGGCCTGCGCCTCCCCCAGGGCCAGGCTGGGCTCTCACCGCAAGCACACAGGAGGAGGGTGTCTTCCACCTGCCTTCCTGTTTCTCTGGAGGGGACGGGGATGGAGAGTGGGGGGCAGGGGAGCGGCCCCCCTCAGATCCCTCAGCTCCCCGGCGGTCCCGGGCGGCTGTGGAGCTCTCTGCGGTGCTGGCATGGGCCTGGCATACTCGGACCAAACCACCACCACCCAGAGGAGGGAGCTGAGGCCCCCAGCAGCACCTCGCTGGGCCCAAGGTCAGGTGTCACCAGCCTGAGCCCACCCAGGCCTGCCCAGCTACCCTTGCTGAGCCCTTCCTGGCGGGTGCCAGCTTCCCAACGGCAGGTGTCGGGCACCTCCTGTGCCCTGGGCCACCCGCTGGGGTTTGTGCCCCTACTCCCTGCTTTCACAACCCCCCCTCAGCCATCGTGGCTGAAACCAGGGTCTGGTGCCCGTGGTAGTTCAGGGTGCACTGCTGATCCCAGTAAACCACACAGCTGTCCACATGGGCCGGTTACCTGTGGTCTGCCTGCCTCCCGCCGCATCAGGATACCCTCCCTCCTTCCCTCCCTCCCTCCCTCCCTCGCCTGCCGGTCCAGCTCCTGGTGGACGACTTGCTGGTCTACAACGGGATCCTGGCCATGGTCAGCCACTTGGTGGGGGGCATCCTGCCCACGTGCGAGCCCACGGTGCCCTACCACACCATCCTCTTCACAGAGGACACAGGAGTCTGCCTCCAGGAGAAGCACACCACCATCAGGTGCGTGCCCACCCACCCCGCCCTGCCCAGGTGGGGGCAGATGGGCGGGCTACGCACAGCCTGAGCCCCTCCCTCCCACAGCAACCGGGCGGAGGATCAGGACATCCAAATGATGAACGAGAGCCGGGTCGTTGCCAACGCCAAGCGCAAGCAGAATGCCGCCGCCGCGGACCCCGGTCAGTGCCCTGCCCGCCTGCACCCGCCCCGCCCCTACCCCGCCCCCGCCACGGCAGACAACCAGCAGGATGGCCGGGCTCCTGTGGCCACTCTGCTGAGACCCACGGGACAGGAAGGAGCCGGGCAGCAGGGGAAGCATGTACCCAGGCCACAGCAGCAGCGAGGGCATGTCCAGGGGACAGGGGGCCTAAGCCCAGCAAGCAGAGGGCAGGAGACCAAGGGCAGGAGGTGGGTTGGGGTGGAGGTGCTTAGGAAGCACTGGCCTGCTCCCCTGCAGGTCTTTTATAGGCCAGCTTGAAAACCACAAACCTAGGTCGTGAAGGTGCACTCCCCCCAAAATAAGCTCCCTGCCCTCACGTCGATGGAGATGCACAGCGACCCCACAGGGCAGGGAACTGCCCTTGTGGGTTTCTGAGACTGCGACTCTGAGGGAGTAGACACACACACACACACACACCACCCCCCACCCCCTGGGCTCCTGGGACGCTGCCCCAAGTGCTCGGAGACACACACGGGACACGTGAACCTCCCCAGCAGAGTGACAAGGACACACAAGGCTGAGAGCTTTGTCCTGTCCCGTGTGCGCACTGCTGGCTGGAGGGGCCGTGGGGTGGGAATGTACCCCCCACACTGGGCGCTGCTGAGGATCCCTGGTTCCCTTCGCTCCCCATCCAAAGTGGTTCCTTTCTGGGGAGCATGGCCACTTGTGCCTCTAGGCCACCTGTGGGCTTCCTCAGCAAGCTTTAGAGAAGCCTGACCAAGGACGGGGCTGGGCAGGGCCAGCTGGGCTGGAGCGGAAGGGCTGCAGGCCAGGCTGGGGCGGTCATTGTGGCCAGGTCAGCGACAGCCTCTGGAGGAACTAAGCAGACAGACAGGGCTGGGCCTGGTACTTGCTGGGCAAGGTCGGCCCTGCCAGGCCCAGGAAGCAGGCCTCACTGAAGCGGCAGTGGTGACCGGGGAGCGCCAGGGCTGGGGGCTTCTCTGAGCAGCATACCTAGTGAGGGCAGGCAGCCAGGTCTTGGGGAATTGCTCGTGGGGTCAGCACTAGACAGGAGGATGTCCTGAGAAGGTAAAGTGGGCAGGACTTGGTGAGCACCCAAGTATAGACAGGGTGGTGTTTGAGGCTGACCCGTGTCTAGCCCACTTCCCGCCCGCGTAGCCATGCCCTGGATACCCAGACCCCCCCTGGGCCTCTGTCCTCCTCTCTTAAGGTACCTGGCGACATCCTGCAGGTTTGTCAGGGCAGGAAAGTGAGACAGGGGAGCATTTGGCTTGGGTCCTTCAGACCTGGGTCCTACACACTAGCTGCAGGAGCTTGAGCCTCCTTGAGCCTCCATGTCCCCCAGGAAGGGAACCTGACCAGCACAACATGTAAGCCCCAAACGAGAAACCAGTCTTTGCCCCTGCCCAATGCTAATGTCTGCCTCAGCCTCCCACCTCGGTCTCCAGCACCGCCAAGCCCAGGAGGGAGCCGGCAGGGCTAGTGAGGACTCAGGGGCTGGGTCCCAAGAGAGAGGCCCCGATTCTGCCAGGAGAGGCAGCCGCTCTCTGGAACCAGGCCCCGCCCACTCCAGAAAAAGCACCTGTGTCCATGCCCCTTCCTCTCCCAGGTAGCCCCCATTCCTTCTTAGCCACCTGCGCTCAGGCCCCTGTCATGTATGGAAGGCTGTGGGGTGGGGTGGGGGGGTATGGGTGCATGTGGAGACCTCTGAGAAAGCAGCTGAGGGTGAGGCTTCCTGGAGGGGGAAGGCGGGTGTACTGGCCATGACCCTGGAGGTGGGAGGAGTTTGTTGGCAGGCAGGGCTGGGCCTGTGTGCTGTGAGCCCTGAGCCCAGGGGCTGCTGGGAGCACCCCTCGAGAAGCCCCCGATGTCAGCACCCCACGCACTCTGGCTTCCCCCTGCAGGCCTTGGAGGGGGTGTCAGTGACCCTACTCCCTCTGTGCTCTCCCCGACAGCCTTACGCCCCAAAACCTGCATAAGTGAGAAGGAGCCGGCGAGACGGTGGCGGTGCTGATGGCTGATGCAGGCGGGAGAGCAGCTCCAGCCGCAGAGAACAGGGCCTGTCCTCTGCCCCCACCTACCCCTGGAGCGCTTGGCCGGAGGGCTGGAGAAGGCTGGGCTCTAGGTGGAGGAGGGTGGCTCTAGGGCTGCCCTGTACACCCCAACAAGGCAGGTCCAGGAGAGTGTGTGCTTGGGGCTGTCAGCCACCCTTGCTCCCATCCTGCCCAGTGGAACAGAGCCCTTGGGGAGCTGGCTCTGGAGGGCCACTAGCCTCTGGTCACTCTAAAAAGGGTCAGCCCAGGGTTGTGGGGCCAGCCCAGACCGCCCATGGCTGCTGGGCAGTATTGAGGGCCAGAGAGCCTGGGGCAACATCAGACCCCAGAAGCCGGACACATGGATGGGTGGATGGGCGTAGGCAGGGGGGAAGGCAGAGCCAATGGGCCGGGGCCGCCGGGGCACACCTCCACATCCCCTAGTGCCACCCCCCATCCCCCTCCCTCGCCACCTTGCTCAGGATCCCCTGGTGGGCTCTCGGGCTGGCAGGCTGGCTAGCTGCCCAGGCCCCACCCACCGCCCCCTTCCAGCCACTCCCCAGCACGTTGGAAAGGTGCCCTGTACCCCCAACTAGCCGCCAGGAGCCCAGCCTGCATCTATTTCTATCTGTGTAACAAGCTCAGATCGGAGACCTAATTGGTTTCCCAGTGGTGGGTAATTTCTCGTTCCCAATATTAATCTGCGGTTTTCCTGGCACCCGGCCCAGCCTGCTGCGGGCCTGTGCTCGTAAGTTCGTTCCTATGCAACCCGGGCGGGCGGCAAACACTTCAGGAGCTCTGCAGCCTCTGCAGGAGCCGCCATGCAAACGGAACCCCGGCTGATGCAGAAATCAGGGGGTGTCTCTCCCTGGGGAGAGCCTTCTTCTGTCTCCCAGGCTGCCAAGCTCCCAAATGTGGCAGGCATCTCCCCCCTCCCCACCCCCTGGGGCCGTCGGGCAGATCAGATGGGCACCAAGTGACCAGAGCCCGCGCTGTCGCTTTAAAGGAGTCCAGCCCCCATCCCTGTTGCTGGAGGCACCGCTAGGGTCAGATTGTCAGGGAGATGCACAAACGCTATAGACGCTCCCCGAGCCAGAGCTGCTGTTTATAATAATTGTGTGTACCATGCAATTTAGGAGGGGTTAAAAAAAAAAACTGTACAGGCATTAACTCTAAAATAAATTTCTATTTTTTTCTCTTGCAAAATCAATAAAAGATGTTATTAAGAATGCAGCCTGCCGGGTAGGTTTGCCAGT